GAAGTATTCTGCATTTTGTCTGAAAAACATGTGTCAGTCATGAAATCTCACAGAATTCTAAACACCAAAAGAACAGAACAAAAATGGATAGGTACTTAAAACTATGATGCCTAGTTCTCCTATATACATATATATATAAAAATTAACTTACATTATAATATCAAACTGCATAGCATAACAAAAGAAGGCAACTTGAATGGCTGAAATTAAAAAATGTGAATGTTACCAACTCTATTATTACCATTCTGGAATTTATACCATAGAGTAGACTTGCTAGCAACAGAATTGCTAGCAACTCTGTAGCCCAATTTAAGCAAAGTCTGCCTTAATTCCAGTTAAAGAAGAAATCATTAGCTCAGACAAGTAGTTGTATGCTCTGCTTTCAGGTCCTCTTTGCAGGTTTTGCTGTTAATTGTTTCTCTCTTTCAAGTTCCTTCTCACGTTGCTGCTCTCGTTCCAATTCTTCCTTCTGCCTCTTTTGTTGCAGCTTAAGTGCTCTTTTCTAAACAGAAAAGACAAGAAAATAATTTTAAGTTTTATAGATATATTTAAGTTGGAGCAACAAACAAAATCCCTCCCATTCTCCTGTCCAACACATCCTCCTTATGACTGAATGCAGCATAAACTGTTCATTTTTGCTTCGTCCCTCCCACCTTCAGCTTACTGTTCAGAAATGTGAAGTTTGTGGTCTGTACTGGGAGAACACAAACTGAAGCCACTTCAGTCTCACTAAAAGTCATCCTTTGGGTATACCTGGCGAGATTCTTATCATGCAATTTACTGCCTCCCAGAAAAAATCCTCTTGTTGAACATACTAAAGGATTAATATTGCCATAATGTAACCAGGCTGTCTGTATAGCATGAAACCAGTGAACTTATGTCACCATTAATGGTACATTAAGCAGAAGGAGAAATTTTTACATTTATAACAATCTAATTTCCATTGAAATGAAAGTGAAACAACAAAGACAACTGCTTGAAATGGAGTGGACTAAGCAACAGAACAAGGCATGATTCTTAAACCACCTAAACATGAAGATGACACTTAAAAGAATAGTTCAGTTGTGTAAGTTCCTTGAGCACCATTAGGAGCGAGTGAAAGGTTAAAAAAATGCATGGCTTGGAGCTACTGAAAACATCCTTTTAAGGTAAAATTTTATTTTAATCAGAATTTTCAGCATGCATCCAAAATAAAAGTTGGAAAACAATAACACATAAGTAAATATCTATACTGGAAAGTAAAAATATTTATCCCACTTACTTTTAACTTTGATGTCTTCTCATGCAGCATCATCATTTCATTTCTAATATTCACTAACTTGTTGTGATAGTGTTTAGCTTCTGAAAACTTAAAACCCATAATTGTTAAAGCAGTAACTGTTAAGTTAGAATAGCTGTTTTATAAAGCTACACAGCAAAATAGCAATGAAAAACAGTGATTACCAGACCAGTTTGATAATGGAACAAACACGTTTAAGTTTATATATAAAATTTACATATCACATATTAATATAGAAAATTTCAAGAGTTACAAACCGTAATCTACTGAGTTAAGATTCATGAAACAGACCAAAAATATTACAACTTTATGCACCATACATGAGTGTTTCAAGGACCCTTCCTGCCAGTCTGGGGAGGTGCACAGTGCCCATGCTGGAGCATTAATCCTACTGAAAACACACATACATCTGCTTTGGTTGCTGGCTTTGAACAGCCATTGTCACCAGAGCTGCCTGACTGAGCCTGCACTCTCTTCCTGCTGCCCTTCCTATTTAAGGGAAATATGCTGGTTCCTACCCTCTCCAGGAGTTTGCCCCTAATATCTGAACTGGTTTTCCTTCTGTAGGTCATGAAGAACAAGGAAAAGACACAAACTGCTAGTAATGCTTCAGCAAGAAAATCTATGCTAATCTAGAATTTAAAGGCATTACTGGTACTTACCAAAGCATTGATATCAACAATGGAGTTACACTCTTTGAATTTTGAAATTTCTTGTTCTAATGTTTCTAGCAGTACCACTTGGTTCTGTCTAAAACAAAAAAGGATGCATAAACCCCAAAGTAAAGCACCACATATGATTTTCAAGCAGCCCTTTAAATAGATTTTTAATCAAAACATTATCAATACACACTTCCCAATTCCAGATTCCTCTGATGCACTGCTATTTCAATAAAAACATGAGTAAACAACCAGAAAAATCCAAGCTGCTATTTGTTACACAAATTCAGCCGGCATCTTACAGCACATGAATATCCAGGACAAATATCCCAAAAACCCTGAAGAGGCACTCTCCAGGTTGCAGTTGTTGACTGAAAGGAAGAACAATTACCTCTTGACTTTCCACTTGGGTGTCTCTGCGTCATAAATTATTTCTGTACAGAACTTGTGTGGATTCCTGGTGATTATTACGGCTCTCCATCCCACACAAATCAGCTCAAGTTTTTCCAGACAAAGGCTGTCCTTGGCAGGAGCATAACCACATCATGCATAGTGAAACCCAAACTAAGGTACCCTGCAAAACCTGAGATGGATCTGTGTAAAGCTCTTTCCAGTATCTCTGTATCCATGGCAGATCTGGTTTGCATGTGAAATCAACTACTCTGTTATCAGTGAGGTATCAGTGTACAAAGAACTCTTATCTGCTTAGCTCCTTGTTTGTATTTTTCAAGTGTTTCATAATACGGTTTAGAGACTGAACAACACACAATATATCTCACTACAAGCTGCCCTGAATACAGACTACACATCTCCAAGCAAAATAAATCCAGCTTTTAGCATACTTTTCCACTAGAGAAGTGAATAAGCATTTAAGAAATCTAGGTCTTCTGCTCTGCCTGGCTTAGGGGATTTTAGTCTTCTAGTGTTACACATTCTTCAAAATGCTCACAGGCTACACTGCAGCTTACAAACACCCCCTGGTACTCCCACAGATCACTGAATTATTCAGGCTGCTTGAGTCAGGACACTGAAATGCTGATAAACTATATTCCAGTTAAAGGGAGCTGGCACATTATTGAAAAGAGCAGCAAACCAAGTAGGCACGTGCATGAAGTTGGTTTCAAAAATCTGCTTACGTAAGTTCCTGCAGTGCTGATTTTGATCGCTGAAGATCGGGCAGATAGTGGGAAATCAAGCCTTCAGTTAGCTGCTCCACAGCTTTCTCATCTATTAAAGGCAGATCTTCTACAACTCCTTCATCTGGAGATGCATCACTGGGACCTACATCAAAGAACAACAAGGCAGAATGTGAGAAGTCAGCACACCCTTCAAGTTTCACCTGGAGCAACCATATTTTCCTTTCCAAAAATTAAAATCATTAAAACACATTAAAATTCTCTGCACTTTTTCTGCTAAACTGGACTTTCACATTCTTTATTTTTCCCTTATTCTCAGTCGTGTATCACAAGCTTCCTGGTAAACCCTTTTATGTGAACAGCAGCAGTATAGAAAGTGCTCCATAGGTATCTTAAAAAAAAATGAAAAATCGAGTACTCCACTCTACTGCAGAAAAAGATGGGCAACATCAGTGTTCTGACTATGTATCAAGAGTACCTGAACATTAACAGCCCCCAACCTTTGCTTTCAAAGTCTGAGAACAAGCTAGGCTATGAAAGGTCTTCGCCTGTCACTCAAAACACCAAGACTTCCCGCTGAACTCCAAGAACCGAACTTCACAGCCTGTAAGTTTAGTATGGGCACGCTATGACTATTTTTTATCTGCAGCGCTCGAGGAAGACAAAACCCTTTCACCTACAGGCCCCCGCACGGGGGAGAAGGATGCGAGAGGCAGCCCTTGGCCTCGGAGGGAGCCCGGCCCTAGCACCGGGGGTGGCGGAGCGCCCTCCTCCGGCCTCTACCGGGCCCGGCGGCGGCTCCAGCCTCTCCTGGGCTCGCGCCGCACCCGCGTCCCGCCCGGCCCGGGGTCTCGG